GTTTATTGTTACACACAATGGTGCTACATAGCCTTCCCAGCTTGGTGCCTTCTTTTAATACTTACTGATTAAAAATAAATAATAAATACATTTTATTCAGGAAAAGTACATACAGTTGATTTACAAACATAATGTTGGATTTATAGACAGAGCTAGTACATACAATACCTAAAGCCACTAATACTCATAGCATTTCGGGCAAGGTGTGGGGGAAAAAACACAGACTAAAACTTAGTAATCGGAATTAGGTATAAATTGTGTTGAAAGAAGGAATAAAAAATACAAAAAGGGGGGTTAGCATAGCATAACTCAGCAATTGCACATGTTGGTGAACAGCGTTGTTTAAAAAATAGCAAGACATGGGTTGACATTTAGGAGGTAAGTTAGGTTACATGGAGTTAATTAGGCAGTACTTGGTTTAACTCTTAAACTGGTTGAGAGGTACAGCCTTTGACATGATTCGGGAGGTCATTCCACATTCTGGGTCCCTTGATTTGTAGAGCACTTCTAGTTTGGTTACACACAGCCAAATTGAGTAACAGGAAGAGGTCTTGGACACAAATTTGTTCCATGCTAAATGTAGAGGAATCAGCTGAGTATTCCTCAAATAAAATAAGTTGCCTCAGCTTATAAGGTAAATAAAATAAGCATTTCTCAAATAAGTAGCTGCCTCACCTCACTGCCTTACTGCTACATAGCCTTCCCAGCATGGTGCCTTCTTTTGATAATTACTTGTTCCACACCCAAATTGTATAACAGGAAGAGGTTTTGGACCCCTACTTCCCTCTCTCTTTTTTAATAATCTACAGTATATAGTCATAATTATAGCTTTAAGTATTCAATGAATAAAGTTTGACATTTTTACCCTTCTCCTTACCTAACATCATTTGTGCAGCATATTTTTATTTTATGTCTCACCCAGATTTAATTTCAAAATAAAACCAAACTAAATAAATTAGAAATGGGTATGTATAGCTAAGGTACACCCTTACTACTAGGTGAACAGGGGCATTTGGTGATAGTAAATGATCCCATCAGGCAGGGCTCATCACCTTCTCTCATATTTCATGTTCACCAGTGTTTATTTACTTAATAACTACTGGTATAATATCTTGCTATTATAAAAGTAATTCTACTATCATCAAACACATATTTACTTCAAGTTTCAAGCAGAGAATGCATATATAACTAACACGAAGGATTCCTCTTCACTAGATTCACCAGCTATAATATTTTGGTCATGTTCCAATATCATAAATCGATCCCAGTGTTATGTAGTAGAGAAAAAATGACTTATATCCAGTTTACGTAAAGCTACGAGTGGTCGAAACCACACTTAAATCCCGGAATGAACTTACGAAGGTTTTTCCACTTAGGGTACCTACTTGAATACGGACCTAGCCGCCACGAAGGCGCTAAGAAGGAATTCGCTCTTAGCTAAGAGGAAAAACCTTCGTAAGTACCTTCCTGAATCCGGCCCCAGATTCAAGTCTGGCTCTGTATGTCTATCTTGTCTCTGCCTGCCTGCCTGCCTGCCTGCCTGCCTGCCTGCCTGCCTGCCTGCCTGCCTGCCTGCCTGCCTGCCTGCCTGCCTGCCTGCCTGCCTACCTGCCTGTCTGCCTGCCTGCCTGCCTGCCTGCCTGCCTGCCTGCCTGCCTGCCTGCCTGCCTGCCTGCCTGCCTGCCTGCCTGCCTACCTGCCTGCCTGCCTACCTCGTCTTATTCACTTCAAGTTTTCGTAGCTGTTCTGGGATTTCTTTGTCTATAATGGTTGTACATGGTACAGTAGATGTACTCGGTCTAATGGCAGTACCTGGTCTAATGTCAATACCTGGTCTAATGGCAACACCCGACCTAATGAGGCCACCGCTGCCTCTGACGTTCAGATGTAGTCGGAAATAGTAAGTAATTAGCTTGTAGAGTTCCCCCCTCGTACAAGGGAGAATCTCTCCATACTCACCCATCCAGTTAGGGGGTGGTAGTGGTCATACCTAACGGTGTTTAACCCCACAATGTGTGAAGCCCTTATCCATTATTTCAGGAAGAAATTTAGCGAGAAGAGCTACAACTCATTATGAAGTGTTAGCCCATAGAACAACATACACTTGTTAACTCATTATGTGATGATCACAAATACTGAACTCATTATGTGATCATCACAGAGACTTGTTAAATCATTTTGTAATCATCAGAGACTTGTTAACTCATTATGTGATCACAGATACTTGTTAACTCAATATGTGATCAAAGAGACCCGTTAACATTTGATCACAGGCTACTTAGCTCATCACTATTCAATACATAAATGTACGAAAAAAGGTAAATATAATTCTAAGATTTAAAGACCATTATCAAGTGTGTGAACGAACAAGTCGTGTTCGTTCACACACGGCTTGGTAATGATCCTGGACGGACCGAAACGTCGTCGTTTCCCCATCTTTTGATGTGTAGTTTGGTCATCATATGGGGTTCAATTCCTGAACCCATTATGTGTCTTTGTAACCCTTTTCACCACGTCTCACGGGATGGGTATGGGGTGCATAATAAATGACCAAACTAACTAACTAGCGTATTAGCACATATGACAACGCTTCCGTTCCCTGGCAGTCACTGATTCAACTTAGCTACTCAGCGTACACACGGGACACATCACAGACCCAATTAAGCATCTATGGTCCAGGGCCTACCATCACCATGTTGCACAGAGACAAGGTTCGCCTCCGAGAGGACTACGGCTGAGATCTTAGAAAAGGTCTCTACCATCGGAAATGTCGCACCGGTTGACGTCCTGGAGACCTGAGTAGGTGTTCACCTGCTCTTCTCCAGCGACATGGAGAAGCTATTCGCCACCTCCACTACGACCATCCTGCTAGACACCGGCTTCACCCTCTCCTCCACGACGCTTTTTGGCAATACATAAATACTGGGTACCATGACCCAGCACTCGGACCAACCACGCTGAAAGTTAAGAAACAATCCAGCTGGGACAGTCACACTGTAGACAAAGAAGTGGGCTTGAGAAGTCTGCGCCAGGGCTTGAGGTGAGGTGGAGAGTAGCATGGTGGGTAGGCGTTGAGTGGAGACGCCTCGTTCTTGCTTCTTCATCTGACGTCTATCTTCAGGCTTGGTTCTTCTGCTGCAGGTGGATGTTTCCTAGTGTTCTAAGTTATGTTACACTTCTGGGTCTTCTGTTTTTTCTTGCTTCGGGTTGTCATGGCCGTGCTGTCGTTGGAGTTTGGTGAGGAGTATGTTGGTTTAGATTTACCTACTCAGAACGAAATGTCCACGTAGCACGGGCTATAGCGGTGAGGAGTAGAGGAGAAGTCTTGTACAGAATAAGTGTTGAACTGTTGGTGAGGCGATGGTGCTCCTACTGAGACTTCATCGTCTGAAGAGTCCGAAGCGTCGTCTGTAGCCGGTGGTTTTTCCTTCGGTCGCACAGCCTGGGGTGGGCTCTAGTATCGTGGATTGGCGGTTGCAGCTACCACGGGAGCGGTGGTGGTACTGCTAGCAGTCATAAACAGTACGTCGGCGAGCGCGACGGCTGAGATGGTGATGATAGAAGCATTGAGAGCTGGAGTGGAAGATGCTTCTCTTTGTGCAGCCTGAGTCTTGGGTGGTGCGGGAGTCTGGGTTGAGATCGTTCTCGTAGTCGTCCTTATGGTCATCTCCGTGGTAGTAGGAGAGGCAGTGAGACTGGTTTCAGGGGCGATGATGGGGTCCAGACCATTGACGAGGTATAGTGTGTTGAGTTCCTTGACAAACCGTTGGTTATCTGATCCGGCAAGCCTCTGCTAATCGAATGAGACAGAGATAATGCCCTCACGTGAGACAAGGCACTGTAAAGATGTTGACTGGTCCACGGTTCTCCAAAGTGGAGGCTGGGTTGCCTGGTGGGTGGAGCCACTGTTTGGTAGGGCTGGGAAGGCTTCTGGTTGGTTGGTAGGAGCTGAGTTGCTGGAGGCGCCGGCGGCGGTAGTGGATTTTTTTTGTTTTGGATTCAAGTTGTTTCTTGATGATTTCTTGATTGCGAGGGCAGCGGTGGAAAATTGTGAAGTGATCGCCTTTGCAGAGTAGAAGCATAGAGTGTCTAACTGGCTGGCCGATTGATTCAGTTGGGTCTCGCAGAATCTCAAGTTTTACTCCTATCCCTCCGCCATAGTAGTGTTGCCCTCCCGCCATCCTCCAGGAGCAGCAACTGCTGGCAATGCTCAATATTCAGATGACGGGGAACGGGCAACATGGGTCTATACCTAGAGAACTCGTGTCAAAACTACAGGGAAAATTTTGCTTGTGAACTTCCTCAGCAAGTAGGAGGGAAGCAAGCGCTCCCCCCCCCCAACACTCTTACCCGGGAAAGGGTCATACACTTTGTCTTAAGAATGCTACATAGTCTTCCTGACTTACTGCCTTCTTTTGATAATTACTTTAGAGTCCTCTGTGATGAATCCTACAACTACTATAGATGGTAGTTAATCTACAAATTATGGACTGCTTTACATTAGTACACATCTGTACTATTATAATACTAAAGGGCATATCTAAAAGAGCAACCATAAACCTAAACTGTCCAAGGCCTAAATAGGAGATATTAGGGCTAAATTAGTACCCCCATAACCCAGAGAGAAAGTACACAACATTAACGAGGAGTTGGTTTATTATTGCAAATAAACAGATGCCATTACACTGAGTTAAGCTTTCATTTTGGGACATTACAACTCATGCCGATCTTATGGTTGTCTTTGCAGTTATCAAACGCTAATTATATAGAAAATGGCGATTAGAATTATTGCACAAACCGCATAAATGTCTAATGAATTCTGCATGCAGAGTAAAGGCTCCTAAACATGGTCACTTCATTTATATATATGCAAAATAAACTCAATATTGCTAGAAAAGGCAACTGGGAGGGTCAAGGGTCAAGGACAGTGACCAAAATTAGCTAAAGTCATTATATGCAGCCATAATAAGTCATTACCACTAAAGGCAAATTAATTCCAATTACAATGCAAATATTACTTTATTAGAGGCATTGAAACCAAATTAAATACAATTAGATTCCAAATCTTTACTTCGTGCCAAAATTTACATTATCTATAATTTACATTATAATCCTATAACAAATAAAAACTATTGTTCAATGAGATTACCAGCCAAGGAATAGGTTTAAGGTGTGTGCTTGTGGGATCAGATCCTCCACACTTTATGTTCCCCAGCCTCGAGGACTTCTAATGGGCAGAGGACAGGGATCACACCAAGCAAAAGTTGTGGCTGCTACGTACGATTTAGGAGAGGATTCAACTGTACAAATAAGGTGCTAAGGAAGGCTGTTGAAGGTTAAATGACTTACAGGATAAAGAACTTTCACTACTGCTGATGTTTTAAATCCACCAAGATGAACAGAGGACTTTTCGGTGGATACACAAGAGGCCTAAACACTCGCATAGTCTTTTCTTAGAATTATCGAGCTATATTTATTCTGTGAGAGCTACCACGAGTGCTCAGTAGGCGACAACTGGTGGCAAGTCCTGCACTAAGGTTTCTTTCTCGGCTGGGAAGGTCACTGAAGAGGTGGTTGTGGGTTACACAGCTGCTCCCAGTGCATCTCGAGATGAGGCAGAGGCTCAGCGTAGAACATCTCAAACCTGGAAAATGAGTGGTCATTAGGGGAGGCTGTGGTGAGGATGGGGGAGCGTTAATATAAAACCGAAATATCTCAAGGAGCAGAAGAATCTATGAGTAGCAAGGGCATGGGAAAATATCTCTCCAGATTACAACACTGGCGCAAGGATGACCACCGGTAAGACACCATTTATGGTGTCTAGGGGGGACACCAGATTCGATTCCTTCTTTCTAGGGGACATCCCAGACTAGGATAACCACCGATGGCTTTCACGTGATGTGAAAGGCGACGTCACGTTAAATATAACCGTTAAAGTGACCAACGCGAGCAACTAGCATCTGCTGCTCCTGGGCATTTTGGATGTTACCACGGCGCAGGAGATGGAATTTGTCTTCGTCAAACATCATTTTATTTTCTGTGGCCCACTGGATGACCAGATTAGCATCTGTTTGGAGGTTTGTTGTGTCTTCTATATTGTCTACCATCATCAAAATCATAATGTCATCTGCAAAGGATGATATAGTACTATAGTCTGTGTCTTCGTCTATATGCAATATGGGGATGAGAAAAAGCATGACTAACTTGTTCTGATGAACGATTCGGATTTGACTTTTGGTTCTATTTAGTAAGAAATTAGTGATCCATCTTCTTACTTTGTCAGTAATTTCATTTGTGTGACCAGTCGGCGTTCAATCCCCGACCGTCCAAGTGGTTGGGCACCATTCCTTTCCCCCATCCCATCCCAAATCCTTATCCTGATCCCTTCATAGTGCTATATTGTCGTAACGGCTTGGCGCTTTTCCCTGCTAATTCCCTCCCCTTCTTCGTAACTGAAACAAGAAATGAATGGCCAGGGAGGGAGAAGGGGAGAGTATACTGACCCTCGGTAGAGGTGCAATGGGAGGAAGGCGGAGGCAGTCAACTAGTAACTAGGACCTGGATAAATGAAGCACTTATGCAAGTACTTACGAACCTGTACATCTTTTCTCAATCTCTGGCTACTTTATTTACACTTATTAAATAGTTTTAATAAGCTCCTCCCCACAAGCTTCGAAGCACTAAGAGGCTGTTTATAACAATAATACCACTTGATTGGGAAGTTACGAGGCTTGCAAAGCCGCCAAAGATTAAGAAAAGATGTACAGGTTTGTATGTAGAGGCGTAAGTAAGTAATTATCAAAAGAAGGCACCAAACCGGGAAGGCTATGTAGCACCATCAAATGCGCAAAATAATCAGAGGACGCTAAATATCACCAAGGATGCCAATACGAGAACAAAAACGCATAAGGCGAACGATATCAAAAGTATCCGAGTCACCAAGAATTCTATAGAGGGACAGGTGACCGCGAGGGGCGGTCGGAAAGCAAGACACACGCTCGTCCTGGAAGTCAGGACATTCAAGAAGGACATGCACGACCGTAAGAGGGACAATGCAACTAGGACAATAAGGAGCAGGGCGGCGCTCCATCAAGTGACCATGGGTTAAGCGAGTATGGCCAATACGCAACCTCGCCAGAGCTGTGTAGAGGCGTAAATTCTCGTTGAATCCTGTCCCTGAACAACGATGGTGGTGGGTGGTTGTGCCAAACCCAGGAGCAGGGGCAGGCACGATGTAAGAGTCGGACACATCTTCTAATGAAAGAAGAAAGAGGACGATGGATCTGGTATCCTTCAGACCCACAGATATAGGTGCAGGATGGTCGTGCCAGCGGCCACAATGTCTACACGTCAGCTAGAGACTAATGGGGCAGGTGACAGACTATAGTGGATGTTAGTTGAGGGTGATAAAGAGGTTCAATATAAGGGAAAGACAACAAGAACCTAGATGGAGCCCAGAAGGACCGGCACTGGCAATGGCAGGGCCGAGAGAAACAGGGAAGAGATCAGAGCATAAGAGGGAGGCCGGGTTCCTCACCTGCCAACAAGCTGCAGAGAAGTAGGACAAGAAAGAGGTGTTTCAGACGAGGTCTCTACCAAAAATAGACTATTCTCAGCTAGAGATTTCACATTCAGTGGATCAAAGGCTCTCAACAAACAGCCCGGGGATCGAACTAAGAACCTTTCACTTGTGATTAGACTTAAATGACTTAGCCTATCACTTAAATTAGTAAATTCTTTGCGGAATACCGTTACAAGACAAAGGTCTCGTGGCTATCCTGGAAACTTTATTATGTAAACTATTTATGAAGGATTGTTCAAGAACACTAGATAACTGTATACCAAGTATCGACAAAATTAGGCGCAGCTTAATGCCAACTGTAGGGATAATGACACCAGCTACCAGATATCATCTCAACAACAATGAAAGAGTTACTGCAGTATGTAAAACTCTGTACGCCATGATTGCAGCAACCATTTGACAAGACTTGAATGCATTAAAAGTCGATATCAGGCAAAAACAATGCATGGTAAACAGCTTCAGTAATAAGACTAGCTTTATCTTGCAGGGATCTTATACCGCTTGCTGGTGACCTAGGTAGTCGGGTAGGATTTCCTTCACCAGGTTGTCAGATGCCACTGAAGAGGACAGGAACGCTGGTACAGCAATTTGTGTTGCTGTGCGCACACCGAGGCCTCCAGGTCTGACAGGAAGGGAGGCCTGTTTCCACTGTTAGTCGCTGAGAAAAAGGTTGAGGGCTTTTTCAAACATTGATTTCAGCAGGCTGTCGTACTCTTCTAATTTAATATTATTGAAAGATGGAGAACATCTAAGAAAGTAGGTCAGCCTGGGGAGGGACAAGCATCTGGTGATGAGGTAAAGTGCATCATGAGCATCAATGTCTTCAATCCTTCCATCCATCCTCTTACGGTCAGTGATCTTCTTACGAAGGACCTCGTCGATGGCGCTCCTTCCAAGGAGATATATATATTATATAATATATATATATAATTATCTATATATATATATATATATATATATATATATATATATATATATATATATATATATATATATATATATATATATATATATACACATACACACACTCACACACAAAGAGCCAAAGAGCCAAAGCTCAACCCCCGCAAGCACAATTAGGTGAGTACACACATTAGTGGACTACATTGCTTAACTGACAATTATTAAAATTTCGCCGAATCGTGCAATTATTAAATGAAATGTCCAGCATTTGATTACCGATTTGTGTATTTAAAACCATTCCAAGTATACTGATACCTTATAATTTAAGTACATTATTTTTGAGGAGAGAAGGAAGGCGGATAAACATATTTAGGAAATCTGTAAGGACTTGCTTTAGATATTGAATATTTCCCATCAATCAACTTTTCCAGGGGTCTACGCACCCTAGATACCCATACATGAGCAGGTAAAGAAAATTACAAACTGTACCAACTGCACATTAATTTCATTCTCTACTTTTTTGATAAACTAAAAAACCATTTAGTGAGCAGATAATTAAACTATAATCCCTCTTTCCAATTGTGTCATTAAGATGTAACACTAAGCAGGGAAAATAAGGAACAGGGCTGAAAATTAGGCAACCTACCCACAAATCCAGAATCTTTTTCTTTTCAGATTTGTGGGTCCAGCATCTAAAAATTAATAGAAATATTATTTCAGGTTATTCCTTCTTAGAACCCTTGTTTGCAGCTGCAACCTGGTGACTGATCTGATGAGAATGATATAACTGAAGCTAAAATATATCAAAGGATCTGAAAACGAAGTGACTCTTATACTCCACAGCTATAGCAGCTCAGCCTATGCGAGCTTCACAACTACTGACAAATTTCTAGCAACCAAATATAAGAAAAAAAGCAAAGCTCACCTCAGCCCCTCATACCCAGGAAGCCTGAGGGTGCTCTCTTGTCCACTCCTGCCACGCTCATCTCCTCGTCGGAGCTGTCGCCGAAGAACGCCTTTTTGCCCCGCATCCCCAAGAACCCGGAAGGAGCTCGCTTTTCTTGCTGCCCGTCCACCATTGCTGTCAATGCCTGCAAGAAAATGATTGTCTTAACAATGAGCTTACACCTCTTTTATTTCCCACAATACAATCTATTATATGGTTTTATTTTATATAAACATACATAGGCAAATTATATACTACACAAAGTAAAGTAACTTGGAGTGCGCCCCATGTCAATGATGGTGTTCGAACCCACAGCAGTGAGAACTGGCTGTGATAACCTAAAGTGTTATCCACGTATGGGAGGACATTAGGCACACACTGTATCGTCTGGCTGGCCAATTTCCTAAATAGGAAAAACAGGGAATTTTCGTACCAACAGATCAATGTATGCACAGTATACAAGAGCGTGTTAATGTTTAAAGTCATTTAATCTGTGTTAAAAACATTGGCTATTCAGCAAAACTGTTCTAGAGTACGAAAACCAAATGTTTTTACCATTTGTTATTGCAATGGGAGGCAACAATTAATGGTCGGTGTTGATTAATTTTTGATCAAACAGGCTTATCCCTGCACACACACAACGCAACTGTCCCTATTTTCAGCTTGTTACAACTTGTAATATAGTTGTTACATCTTGTTAAAACGTTTTTATGACGTATTAGAAGTTGTTACAACTTGCTATATTGGTTGTTACAACTTGTTAGGTGTTAGAACTCGGTCGGACGTTGTAGCAACGTGGTAGTTTCGTCCTGTGTTTGTCAGCCCGTCCTCCAAACAGACCCAAAAGTGATTCCATGCACCCGCCAAACTTCCTGTTTATGAATGAAAAACGGTTTACACACGACTCAACGTATGTCGTTCGAACACTTCCGGAACAAGTGCTTCACTGACGAATTTTGTTCGAACCACAACGCTGTAAATGCTTCACCCACGTACTACAAATCAAATAACCGCCAACAGAACCTAAACACGTAACCTAACCTAAACTATGCCTATATGTGCACAATATGCTAAAATATTATATTAATTTATATTTGAGAAAATTCCCGTTTTGAATGAACAGCATGTACAAATTTATGAATGCGTCTGTGAGGTCGACCGCTGGATGTAACGGACTGGAGTCAGGACGGGTTGTGTGTAAACCGTTTTTTCATTCATAAACAGGGCGTTTGGCGGGTGCATGGAATGGACTTTGGCCTTTGTTTATTTAGAATTTGTTTAACTTTACTAGTTAACTTTTCAAGTAACTCTCCTGATATTCGAACTTAAGTGTCGAATCTCGAATCTCATCTCAAATGCTTTAGCCACGTAATGCAAATACAAGTAATTGAGTAGTTGGGCCGGGCCGCCGGCGAGGGCGGACGCTTGCCGTATTGTTCCTGCCTACCGGACTCTTAGTGCCTGAGTTCGCTGAGCGGTCGGTAGCTGCTTACCCGCGGTGGTGGGGGTGGCGGTCTTGTTGCCAGTATGGGTTTCTTACTCGCCACAATATGGGCTCTTACACAGTATAAATGTTCAATTTATGTCAAGCTTATTCTTATGTGGCGGTGCGAGATGCGCAATTTCAACTACCTAACGGCACCATTACTAGAGTGCTCAGTTGTTACAATAAGGTGGGCGGGGTCCGTCTCAACCAGTAAACGTTTGGAGCGACGAGGAGGCGTAAATGGCACCCGTGCCATGAAGGTGATCCTGAACAAGGATGTCCTTTTTGTTATTATGACAGGCAAATGCTATTAGCATTGCGTATTGCGAACAGCCTTGTACATACTACAAGTGTGGGCTGGTTGGGCACACGGCCTGCTAGTTGCTCCGTGCAGGTTGCTCTCTCAGCAGCGTGTGGACCCTGAGAAGGCTCTGGACACACTCACGTTTATCTGCTTGGCAGACAGAAGGCAGCAAGATGGTCTGCTTTTCAAGTTTCCACTGCAGCAGAAACACAGATTCTACAAATTACGTTACGATTAGTTTTCACTAGCTCTAAATATCCAAAGAAATACTTCAGTGGCTACTTCGCTATAGTGACAGACCCACAGCACTCGCCAAACACTTTGTTAATAGACGCAGCAAATAGTAGAGTTGCCGGTCATTAGAAAAGCTGCAGTCTTACAACATTCTATACGTATGCTTCACCTTGTCCTACTCAGCAGAGAGGATCTACACCTCTAGTAACTACTCTTTCCTGCAGGGATTACCCCTGATGTCTCAATTTTCCGTATAAATAACTCAAAAGACTAGCCTAGTGCGGCCACTAAGCAACACACATGGCGCAAAGATCAAGATCGGCGTACACGTTGCAAATAGATCCTCACAATTTATGAGGCTTTCACGTCGATAGTCTAGTCATGGTCCATAAAATTTAAAGCCCGGGAACCAAAGACTTGTAGAGTTTAAACACTTTTACCGCTGTGAAAGACGGACAGTTCCGTCCCGGTAGGTGCGCACTCTGCCGCGGCTGAGCGACGACTGTCCGCCCTCGGGAGTTTTTTTTTCTTTTTATTGATAAAGCACATTAAATACCTATAAAAACAGCCTGGCAAAACCGCACAAGCAGTGATCCATAAAGCATAAAACAACACATGAGAACAACAGAGAAAGGAAACATAAAACTGAAAAAAAACAAGCACACAACAGGAAACATGGAAAAAAAACGGAAATGATGTGGTACAAAATAACATTTACAAAACTAAATACACAAGCCAGCCTGAAGGGCCACACAAGCAGGACAAAAAGCCAAGACAGAGAGGAATTCATAACCGGAACACAAAGGGACCGGGAAAGAACATAAAGAAATGACACCCACACATGCAAAACAAAAACAAAACAAAACAAGCACAGGAACACGCAGGAACTGGCAAACACACACACCCAAGAGCCTAGAAACCACACAAACAACAGAACACAAAGGACACACAGGACAAACAGCACAGCACAACCAAAAAACGCATACGGAACACACAAACAAGCACACCAGCAGGGCGAAAACTAACACGTAGACAAAACGTACATAGAACTGCAGACACGGTAACAAAAATCACAGACAGGGAGTATACAAACAAACACAGGCACTATCGATACTTGTCCGGAAACTCCTGTGCCGGGAAGCGCAAGCAGTACGCCTCCCAAACCAGCTGAACGTCTTCAGACACCGGTCTACCAGGAGACGCACAAGGCCGAGGCATCCAATCAGGTACCCCATATATAAACCCCTTTAACCTCGGTACCCAAGGACGGGAGACATCTCCCGTCATGCAGGGTGCAGTCGCACCTCCACAGATCTCCAGTATCAGCTCTTGATACTGATAATGGCTCAAAAGGGCCACCACTTATGGGCTATTCATGCCCGTGCCACCTTTTGGGTGGCTTAATCTTCATCAATCAATCGGTACCCCAAATAGTTGATAAGCACCACGGGACCGGACGCACCCCTGTCGTCCCAAGTGAGGTCCAAACACCGCGACAGAAAGACCACGCCCCCGTCGGCCGCGATCACTAGGAAGAGGTCCACACTAGGGGGTTTCGCACAGGAATCTGCACAGAGAGGCGCTCTGGGCGCCACACAGGGCACCGCACAGGGCTTTGTACTGGCCTGTGCACGAGGCTTCTCACGAGGCTTCTCACGGGGCTGCACACTGTGGGGACCCACAGAGGACACGGATGCGTCAGGGCCCCCACCAACGGGCACAGAACCAGAGGCACCCTGGCGCACATCCTTCTTTAAGACCACGACGAGGTCCAGCAGGAGCAACCTCCCACCGTGGGGAGCCAACAGCAGTAGGCATAGGGGGCGACTCAGGAGGTAGGACAGAGCCCCCACAGCACTGCCAAATCAACGTACTCTCCTACCTCCACCCCAAGGCACACCACAAAGGGGATACGTACTCGGGACCCGCCTCAAGAGACAGGCTGCTGGTTGTCCGAGCTGTCACCCTCGTCATCCCGTAACATAGCAGAACTCTCCAACGGACGTGCCTTCAAAGCCCGGCCCCTGAGAACCGCAGCCTCCACAGCCGGGGACATTGGACCACACCACAGGAGATATCTCACCGCGGACATCCAAAGGGACAGGAGACGCCGCATGCAGGGACAGAGCAGGCAAGGGCAGCCAAGACGGGGTGGGCTGGGGTGGCAGGGGCAGGGACGTCAGAGGCTGGGGCGGGGCCGCCCCCAAACTCCACGTCAGTATCCACACCACCACCCAACACACCCGGGGAAGAAGCCGGCAGGGAATCATCACATGGTCCAGCACTTGGAGACAGGTCCGGGGCCGACAGCGGGGGAAAATCCTCCTCCCGGAAGAGGTTAACAGGTGTGACCCGCTTCTCCACACACCCCACGGCCAGGTGAGCCGGGACGCCACACCTGAAACATATCTGAGGTTGTCCCGCGTGAAAAACACAAATCGGGAACCCCAACAGCATGATGGAGGACGGTACAGGATCCCTGAGGCGCATGGCGAGAGTGCGGGTCTCACACAGGACCCCCTTCCATCTCCCGGTAGGGACGGCATTCATCCTTACATTTAGAAGCCGCCCAAACTGGGCAAAGTATCGACGTAGAAGATCCTCAGGGAACTCAAAAGGCATCCCATGCACGGCTGCATACGTCGTGGCTCCACAACGGTCAGAAAGGGTCACCGACCCACCATCTCCAGGAAGAGTGAATGAGCGCCCATCATAGCACATGACGAGATCTTGGTAAATCACCAGGGAGCCGAACTTGACAATCGCCCGCCGTCCGGCAAGCAGCTGCACCCCACACACAGACTCCACAGGGACACGGGGCATATCAATCAACACCACATCCACCGCGTGATAGGAAGCAATCCCAGAGAACTCCAGGCTAATGGAGGCCTGCCTGGTGACAGGGGGCACAGGCCCCCCTCCCCCATAATTGCAGACCGTCACGGCCCCAGGGGGCCCCTCAGCAGAAACACGGAACACAAGCCTCGTCAACAGCGACACCCAGGTTCTCACTCCTCGCGGGTTGACAGCAACTGCAGTGGCCGGATGGAACAACCGTACCCCCACGACAGCCGGAGCAGTTCTCCTAAACACTATTACCGCTGTGAAAGATGGACAGTTTCGCCCCGGTAAGTGCGCGTTCTGCCGCGGCTGAGCGACGACTGTCCGCCCTCGGGAGTCGTCGCTAATGTGGATGCACAAACTGTCGTTAATTTCTCCTAACGAATTCTAACAGGCAATTTGCCCATCATCAAAACCTATTAAAATCTTTCAGTAACTGACTAACCCATCCTCAGCTTTCATTCCATCCAGTGGCAGACCCCAGAGACCCATTTATAAATTTTACAGCACAACCTCATCAATAAAGGCCAAATGCTCATTAAGCCAGCCGCCAAACCCCCTATATATGCAACCCATCCTCAGACCAAGTCCATTCTATCCAGCTGTCGACCCCAAATACGCATTTATCAATTTTAACATGCTGTCCATTCAAAATAGGAATGTTCTTAAATATAAATTGATATTGTTATATATTAGCATATTTAGGCATTGCTTAGGTTAGGTGGCCGCAAAACCAAACGGGTGGTTTGGCGGATGTCCGTAGACCGTCCTCATAAACAAAGGCCAAAGTCCATTCCATGCACCTGCCAAACCCCCTGTTTGTGAATGAAAAACGGTTTACACACAACCCGTCCTCGACATGAACAGCATTTGTACATGCTGTTCATTCAAAACAGGCATTTTCTCAAATATAAATTAATATTATAATATATTAGCATATTGTGCATATATAGGGATAGGTTAGGTTAGGTGTTTAGGTTCTAATGGCGATTATATGTATTTGTAGTACGTGGGTGAAGCATTTACAGCGTTGTGGTTTGAACAAAATTCGTCAGTGAAGCACTTGTTCCGGAAGTGTTCGAACGAAATCAGTTGTAAGTCGTCAGCCTGTCCTCCAAACAAAGATCCAAAAGTGATTCCATGCACCTGCCAAACCCCCTGTTTATGAATGAAAAGCGGTTTACACACGACTCACAACTGCTGACGTTCGAACATATCCGGAACAAGTGCTTCACTGACGAATTTTGTTTGAACCACAACGCTGTAAATGCTTCACCCACGTACTACAAATACAAATAATCACCAACAGAACCTAAACACCTAACCTAACCTAACTTATGCCTATTTATACACAATATGCCAATATATTATAATATCAATTTATACTTGAGAAAATTCCCGTTTTGAATGAACAGCATGTTAAAATATATGAATGCGTCTGTGGGGTTGACCGCTGAATGTAATGGACTTGAGTCGAGGATGGGTTGGAGTCGTGTGTAAATTGTTTTTTCATTCATAAGCAGGGGGTTTAGCGGGAGTATGGAATAATTTTTTGGTCTTTGTTTGGAGGACGGGCTGTTACACATGACTCACAACTGATGACGTCCGAACACTTCAAGAATAAGTGCTTCACTGACGAATTTTATTCGAACTACAACGCTGTAAACAACCCGTCCTCCAAACAAAGGCCCAAAAGTGATTCCGTGCACCCACCAATCCCCCTGTTTATAAATGAAAAACGGTTTACACACGACTCTCAACTGATTTCGTTCGAACACTTCTGGAACAAGTGCTTCGTGATGAATTTTGTTTGAACCACAACACTGTAAATGCTTCACCCACGTACTACAAATACAAATAATCACTAACAGAACCTAAACATCTAACCTAACCTAACCAATGCCTAAATATGCACAGTATGTTAATGTGTAACAATATTAATTTATATTTATGAAAATTCCTGTTTTGAATGAACAGCATGTTAAAAGTTGATGAGGAGTTGCACGGTGACCGTCGGTCGGGTCGGACGTTCATGAGGTCTCTCCGCTCCTGGCTAGTGTTTACGTTGGGTGATTGCTGGTTTGCCCTGCTGGTGGTGGTTTGCCACTGACAGGGTGACGTTTGATTTAGCCATGGGGACTTCTCGCCCTCCAGTGAAGAGGACATTGTCGGCTGGTCTGGCATTTACGGTGCCGGTGGACCATTCGTTGGTTGGTGTCGCCCTGGTGGATGTGCTACATGTGCAACTGTCGGACCTGGTGGGCGTCCAGCTGCTTCAGGGCAACCCTGCTGTGGTCAAGTTCCACCTCCAGGCTGCCTTTCAGGCGTTTCTCGAGCGGTGTGAGGGGCGTGTTTACCCTCTCCCTGATACTGCTGGTTCTGTTAAGGTGGTGAATTTTAGTGTCACCTTGACGTCTGTGGCGGTGCATGGTGCCCCTTTCGAATTTCAGGCCGACTTTTTATCCTTCTGTTTTGAACGATTTGGGACAGTGTTAAGTGTTCGTTGGAACAAGGTCCTTGCCGGGCATTGTGTTGGTATGCTTGATGGCTCCCGCACCCTGACGATGTCGCTGAAGTGTCCCGTCGTCGATGTCCGTGTTGGGTTACACGCTCCGCTGCCTGTATCGGGGTCAACCGCGCACCTGTTATCGGTGTGGTCACGAGGGTCATCTGGCTACAGTGTGCGACGTGGGAGCGACTAGTAGGGTGCATGTTTTTCGTGCGGAGGATTTTCCACCCCTGTTGCGTTCGGACGGTTCTGAGGACGGAGTGGCTGCTGTGCCTGAGGCGCCTGATTGCCGATCCCCCTGTTGAGGCGAGTTCTACGGCCTGTGCAACACGTCTGGTAACTGCTGTGGTCCCTGAGGTTGTTGAGCCGGTGTGTGTGTGGGGTGTCGGGCCGTCGCCTGTGCTGCATGTAGTGCGGGATGTACCGGTGGTGGTTCATGTCACACCCCAGCCTGTGGATGTGGTACCGGCTCCCGGGGACGCGGTTTCTGCTGTTTTGGAGGGGGGGGCTTCAACAGGGGGTGGTGCCTGCCGTGCCTGTGTGTGTTGGCGACTGTAGTTCTGCTCTTTCCATCCCTTTCCAGAAGTGTGCGCGTCGGTATTCTGAGGCTGTTTCCCTGGATGATGTGGACAGTGCTGGCGATGTGGCCTCTGTGGACTCTTCGGACGGTGCGGATGTGGCCTGTGTGGATGTGAAGATGGTGGCTGTGCTTGCGGAGGGGCCTGCTGAGAGTGGTGTGGTGCGGCCTGTCTTGAAAGCATTCGCAGTGGGCTCGGAGTGTCTCCCCCCTTCGTGGTGTGCCTTGGGAGTTGGTGGGGGAGTATGGTGCTCTGGCGTCCCCTGCCGTGGATGTTGGTGCTGTGAGGGGATCCGAAGTTGCTACCTGAGCCCCCCCCCCTCCTTTGTCTTCTGCTGTTGGGTCCCCGCAGTGGGGGGTTGCCCCTGATGACCGGAACCTCGTCGTGGTGTTGCGGAAAGATGTGCGCCGGGGGGCCTCGGCTCCTGTGCCCTGTGATGGGGTCGATGCTGTGCCTGCTTCCCCTGCGGTTCCCCCTCCTTCGTTGCCCCGGTCTAGGGGAAGCCTCTTCCCGACTGCTGGGGTCGTGCCCTGTGAGGGTCCGGTGTTGGGCCCTTATCGGGATGCCTGGGTGCTTCCGATCCCATGGTGCTCGTCCACTGTATGGGTGTCGCGGGTGAAGGAGTTTGTTTATAGGGTGCCAGATAAGATGTCTCAGCCGAGGGCACCGCCTGGTGGCCGGGTGTCCCTCTGACACGTGGGTGATTTGGGATGCGTACTGCTTCCGCTTTCCGATATACAAGTTTCCGGAGAAATATTAGTTGACGTCTTGCGCACACCGCTACGCCGTGCGTGGATCAGCTGCCGCCGTGAACTCGACACCCCGCCCTACGGTGCGGCGAGGCTCCCTCTAATGTCCGCCTTTGTTTTCGTCGCCACTCCTCTCTCTACGGCCCGGCACATCTAACACTTTTGACTTTCTTCTCCTCGACGTCAACACGTCTCCCTACATCTGTCCTGGTGCAGTCATCGGGAGGGTAAACCATTCATGCAAACTGCATCTATTCTCAAGAAGAAGAAAGTTGATGAATGCGTTTTTGGGGTTGACCGCTGTATGGAATGGACTTGGTCTGAGGACAGGTTGCAGAGTTACATTTGAACAGAGGTCGACAGCGAAACTCTTTGATAAATATTCGATCATCATCAGTTGTGAGTCGTGCATAAACTATTTTTCATTCATAAACACGGGGTCTGGCGGCAGCATGAATTGAACATTTGGCGTTTGTGGACGAGGATGGGTTGTATTTGATTTACAATCCACTTAACTATTTTAGACTCGAAACCTATATTACTATCTTCAATAGATCCTGTCCTCATCAATAAACATCTTCACACCCTCCCCCATCTCTATCCACATGTTCCCTCCCCATCATCTCCCCCCCCCACACACACACCCTGTCTCCCAACTACACACTCCTTCCCCTGTTTCCCCTCATCACTGTAATAACTTTCACTATACTCGATCTCCATCACTATAAAAGATTGTGCCCAGGATGCAGACCTGTCGTCTGAACACACACACTTTACAAGTTAGTATCTAAATACTCTAATATTTATACAAAGGAGAAATTCCGTCGGAGACGTGATAGGAATTCAAACCTGTGCACTGGGTGTTCCCCGGCACACGCTCTAGACGACTGAAGTGTGATTACTCGCTGATTTATTAGTGTGATTACTTTCTGTGTATTTATACACATATCCATATAAGTTTATGGACTTTGCCGGAACATTTCATAGCCACCAATGGGATGCATACGGGCTGATCCCCCTGCAAAGGGGAGCATTTGGGAGTGAGGGAGGAAGGGTAGCCAAATAAAGGAAATTGGGGAGTGTGGGAAGGAGGGTGAAGGAGTAGGGAAGGAGGGTGAAGGAGTAGGGAAGGAGGGTGAAGGAGGGTGAAGGAGTAGGGAAGGAGGGTAAAGGAGTAGGGAAGAAGGGTGAAGGAGTAGGGAAGGAAGGGCAGGGGAATGAAGAAGAGAGGTGAGGGAATGGAAGAGAAAGAGTAGTTGAGTAAGGGCGCGAGAATGGGTGGTGATCACGGGAGACTGAGACAAGTCACCAGCACGGTACAAGGTGTCAACCACTCACCTGGATATAGGCATCAATTTCACTCTCATCGTCAAAGTGCTTCTTGCCTCTCATCCCCAGGAAGCCCGACGGAGCCTTCTTGCCTCTCATCCCCAAGAACCCTGTCCAGATCACCCCTAGTTAGTTAGTTCCACGCTCACTTATGGAGATATGCCTGGGAAGACTTGACCAGGGGTCGTCAAACATTGACCTGACGGCTTACGAAACCTGCACATCTTTTCTCATTCATGTCTACTTAATTTGAATTTATGGAACAGTTTATAAACTGCGAAGCGCTACGAGGTTGTTTATAATAAGAAAAGTCTTGCGTTGTGAAGGTTGTAAGGCTGTTTAATATAGACTAAGCCGCCGTAATGGAGGAAAGATGTACAGGTTTCGTATGTGGACACGTAAATGCTCGATGAATTCTGGCTCTGACTGCCAAAAAGAGATACAGAGATTAGAGATATTTGCTTGTGAGTTATGTAACAACAGTAATCTGGAATGTGTTTTAACTAGCTAACCCAGACTGTTGAATTTAATAAAATAAATTAAACACAAAAATGACTCAATAATACACTTGCATATGATTAGAATTAGTCTATATATCACTATCTTTATTTATCCCGAGTTACCTTGAGGTTCCCTGGAGCTCCGGGTGAAAATGGCTTTAGAGCCTAGGATATTATAGATGGGTTTTCAAGATGTTGCTTTTCATGTTATCATTTGCTTCTTTAAATCTGATTTCATATTAGGATAGTTTAACTATTCGTAATATATAACTATTTATTATTTTAAAAACAAAGAGTGTTAGTGTGATCTCTGTGTGAATTTAATAGTATCTTTTTGGTAATTCTTTTAAGACCAGGCTAAGCCTAGGTGACTTTTCTTTTTAATCATATTTCTAATCAATTGTTTAAAGTATTTGGTTTGAGACCCATGGAATGTTAAATCATTTAACATTTGTTTAGTGAGGAGAAGAAAATGTATAGTAAGAGTCGTAGGATTTTGGAAAAAAGTTATATCACTTGATACAGAGAGTTGTGTACATTTTTAAATTCAGATTCCTAGTTAATATTGCGAAGTGCATCTGTGAGAATGGCTGTTTGTATCTTTGTGAAATAGGTCAGTGAATTTCTGGGTATCTACTAAAAGTTGTTTTGTTTATGTTAGTGAGGTTGAAGACAGGATAGTGATCAGTTTTGTCAGCGATTATGTCCGAGGCAAGAGAGACTTGTTATCTTAGTCTACATGTGGTCTAAGAGTTGACGCAGTGAGCTTTGGTTGATTCTAAGAGGTTTGTGTGACTTCTTCAGGCCTATAAAGTCTTTCGTAACTACTGAAGGACCCATATGCCTTATTGAGACCAACTTAATGAGCCAAGAAAACTACAGAAGGCCTATTAAACTGAAAAGTTACATTTCTAAATTTAGATTATACAGTATATATAATTTTAATTAAATGTGTTACGCTATAACATAACAGTTTATTGTGAAAATTATATACGGAAATTTTGAGCAAACTAACTCAGTTACAAATGAAATGCATTTATGAATAAAGTTGTTGAATTTAGACTTATTTTAATAAATTGTTTAAGGCCTATATATACCTACGTCGAATAACAAAACCCTGTATGTTGACTACTACAGCGAGCGGGCTAGGATGATGGTAGCACCGTGTAGGACCCACCTGAAGGAGCCTTCTTGCCACGCATGCCCAGGAACCCTGAAGGAGCACGCTTGAGGAGGGTCTCCAGCTCGCTGTCCATCCCTGCTTCGCCAAAGGCCTCTTCGCCACTCTTCTTGCCGCGCATGCCCAGGAACCCGGATGGCGCCTTCTTGACTAAGGGAGAAAATGGCGGGTTAGTTGCTGAACACAGCTGGGTTTATTTCGCAATATTATTTAAGAGAATTCCTGTTGTAACATCAAGTAGAGCGGGTTTACGTTCTCGGCTTGAGGGCACGGGTTCAATCCTCGGGCAGGCCAGAAACAGTTGAGCACGTTTGCTTTCGCCTAATTCTTCTGTTCGTTTATTAATAAAATAGGCACCTAGGAGTTTGACAGTTGTTGTGGGTTCCATAAATCATCATACCTGTTTCTAAACCAATATTTACCCAGGTCTTTCCGGAATGAAAACTTATCCAGTTTATATCGTCTGTTTTGTGTTGATGTATTTAACACACTCAATTCCCACATGCTATACCCTTTCATCCATTTATATACTTGACTCATGTTACTCCTTATTTTTCATCTTTCTAGAAAATGCATGTTCAACTTCTTGTAATGTCTTAATTAGGAAGGTTTCTAGTTCCTGGATATAACTTTGCAATCTTTCTCTGTACGCGTTCGTGTGACTGTGTGTCCATTCTATACACCAGCGACCAAAATCTAATCTAGATAATCTAATCTAAACACGCGCAAGATAAAGGTGAAAAATAATATCATGCCCTGTTGCTGACTCTTCTGGAAGCAAATCCCAGTATCCTTTTTTTCTCTCTTCCCTAATCAGCCTTGCAAAACGTAAAAGTTTGAACAAATGAAACACAAAAAGTCCAGAGTAAAATGAACCCAGGACTAGTATTAGGTGGAACATTAGACACCGGGTCACTCCTGGACATGATCCACACACACACACACACACACACACACACACACACACACACACAGAGAGAGAGAGAGAGAGAGAGAGAGAGAGAGAGAGAGAGTTAGAGAGATAGATAGATAGATAGATAGATAGATAGATATCTGCACCTGTGTACACTTTCCAAATTGTGTTCCTGGGGAAGCGAACTCCAGCTCCTGGGCTGCCCCTCTGAAGCACTAACAGCTATGATGACTTCCTAACCCCATAGGCTCTCATATTTACATATAAATCCGTGCATTGAGCAAGCCTCCATCACATCCTCCCTTCTAGTTGTTTCCCTCTAGCTGCATTCACACCCAAGGAATTTATTCCTATCTGGCTCACCTATTTCCTGGTTTCGTCCCTTTCAAGTAACATGCAGTAACTTTCTGCATGTAACTTTCAAATAAGTTATTATGTTCCGCTTAGTCTCCTAAATTTTATGACAAGTCTAGTAGACTCACAGACTCGCAGATTCATTGGCTGAAACTCAGACCCGCTGACTGACCCATAGATATACAGACTCAATAAGTACAGACTAAGCTGCCATGCTTGAGGAAAGATGTACATATTTCGTAAATGCATGATGAATCCTATCTTCATCAACCACCGAGCGTGTCGGCGGTGGCTGTAGAGAAGCTCTTGTACAAGTGGCTGGTTTAAGAACCAAATAGGTCACGGTGATTGATTGATTGCGATTAAGCCAACCAAAAGGTGGCACAGGCATGAATAGCAGCCCGTAAAGAGGTGAAGGAGGTAGTATGTAAGTTTATAAGCGGCGGCAGTACTCCATGCTGGTCCAGACCATTTGGTCACCACTTGGTCCGGGAGACATCTCCCGTCACGCAGGGTGCAGTTGCGCCTCCACAGATCTCCAGTATCATCTTTTGATACTGGTAATGGCTCGAAAGGGCCACCACTTACGGGCTATTCATGCCCGTGCCACCTCTTGGGTGGCTTAATCTTCATCAATCAATCAATCCATGCTGGTGCATGGTAATATTACTCTCCAAGAAGCCAGAGTCAAGTTATGAGGGACTCTGGTATCGTAGCAGTTTGGGTCTGGTCTGTAGTCGCTCTCCGGAACTGAGCAATTATCGTTTATTAATAAGACGGGATACTGTTGCTGAATGATTTCTGTTACTCTCACCTGTCCCCCTCACCTGCCACCTTCACCTCCCTCACCTGCCACCTCCCTCACCTACATCCTCGTCAACAACCAGCAACGTTCATTCACACAAACGACTGTTTGTCCATCTCCACAGTGAGCAAGGAAGGCAGAATCATCTGGCAGGACGATGATTCAGAGTAATGATTAATGATTATCAGCTGGTAATTAGTCCTATCAGCAAGAGCCGGCAGGACTAATTACCAGGTAGTCGCTATATACTGACGGCACTACGACCAGGTAAAATATTAACTCGCACTTGGCAGCCATGCAGGCGCAGAGGTGGCCAGCGTCAGATTATTATAATTAAGCTAATGAAGGCTTCCTTAACTCTTCTGTGTCTGCAAGGCTTGGCTGCTGTGGCTGTTACCAAGTGTACCGTGTCTGTTACTAAGTGTACTATGTCTGTTACTAAGTGCAATGTGTATGTACAAAGTGCATTGTGTCTATTACAGAGTGTACCATGTCTATTGGTAATGCTGGAACGCGAACTCGGCGCTGGAGTGCCCAGACCTGCGGCTGCGTCCAGGGATGCTGACCAAAGAGTGGGACGCAGCCAGATGGCAAACAGCAGTCAACCCTAATTATGTGACCATCTCCACGACAGGAACTGTGTGTGTGTAAGTGCCGGTGGGTAGCAAGATGGCTTCCTACCTCTCCAGGGAACGGCAAGAACCACTGGGCCATTGTCGTCCCTGAGGCCGTAGAGGGAGGCGGGGAAGGAGTCCTGCAGCGTGTAGTCGTTGACGGCGGGGACGATGTTCTCGAGGGGGGTGGACACATCCTTCTTGCCTCGCATCCCCAGGAATCCTGAGGGGGCCCGTCGCTCCCTGTCTGCGGTGTCCTGTTCCTCGGCCAGGGCGCCTGTCACCACCACCATCACCATCAAGCCTATCGCCGCTCCCCGCACCATAACTGGAAAAAAAAATGAATTTCTTCGTCATTCTCACGAAATTTACCATTCAAAAACTAAAAAAAAAACTACAGGAAGACTATGTATTCACATACGAGGCAGCTCCTATTTTTTAGCTCCACTCATTTATATGTCTAATCAGTACGCCTGAAACAAATCTTTAGTAGACGAAATATTGCTATTTCGTTGTTATTGAGTCTTAGGTGAGAAGTTCCTTCACCTAACTTGAGGTGTGGACCACCTATACAGGAGGGTCCTGTATATTGAACTTGGGCATTAAAGTAAACTGCAATCCCCCATTGATCTCTATATAATTGCTCAATGTTAATGAACCATATTAATTTTTGCCTATAGTATTATTCAACGATAACTCTTTTAATCACGAACTAGACGGCATTAAATACTTAACAAATGCTGTATTTATTCACTAAAATGCTAGACTGGGGCTGAGGGTGTAAGAAGGCAGTTAGCACTATTAGTGCACCTATGCTGACTAATGCACCTTGTTACAACAATGCCCTTTCAGGGAGGAGAGATTAGGCATCATTTCTTAACTGTTCGCCCCTGTACACCCAGCAGTAACTGGAGGCCTGGTTGTAAAATGATAAGCAGATCGTGTTCTAGGGAAAGCTAGTAAAGCAAGGCTTAACACTATTATTAATTTTTCTCGGGAACAGGACGCTTATAATTAGGAATGACCAGCGTCACCCTAGGTCAACTATACTGACCTGTACGCAGGATGCAACCCACAACAATTGACTAACTCCCGGGCACCTATTTACTGCTAGGTGAACAGACACATCAGGTGAAAGGAAACGTGCCCAATCATTCTGTCCTGCTCGGAAACTCGACAAGGATTTTCGATTGAGAGTCAAGAGCGTACACTACTGTACTACAGGAGCCCCAAAAGTCTACTAGCAAGAGGCAGAAGTCATGTACGACTGTAGTAGTACATTTGGCTTTGTTTTTGATCCACAATCAAGGATCCCGGGTTCGATTCCCGGGCAGAACAGAAATGGTTGGGCACATTTCCTTTCATCTAATGCCGCTGTTCACTACAGCATTAACTAGGCACCGGGGAGTTAGTCAACTGTTGCGGGGTTACATCCTGGGGGAAGGTCAGCTGTTCGACCTAGAGGGGGACCTCGATACCAGCCTAATGTATATGTATTCAAAGGCTTCCTGTCCCCGACAAAACGAATTAATTAAAAATAATTGCCCAGTTTGCCTAGCCTTTAACGCCAAGCCAGAGTGGACGAGAAGCACGATGTTGCCCCATCCACCACCACCACCAGCCCGGCCTCACAACACACCACCAGCCCGGCCTCACAACACACCACCAGCCCGGCCTCACAACACACCACCAGCCCGGCCTCACAACACACCACCAGCCCGGCCTCACAACACAGCGCTGCACCACCACCAGCCCGGCCTCACAACACAGCGCTGCACCACCACCAGCCCGGCCTCACAACACACCACCAGCCCGGCCTCACAACACACCACCAGCCCGGCCTCACAACACAGCGCCGCACCACCACCACCAGCCCGGCCTCACAACACAGCGCTGCACCACCACCAGCCCGGCCTCACAACACCAGCCCGGCCTCACAACACCAGCCCGGCCTCACAACACCAGCCCGGCCTCACAACACAGCGCCGCACCACCACCACCACCACCAGCCCGGCCTCACAACACCAGCCCGGCCTCACAACACAGCGCTGCACCACCACCAGCCCGGCCTCACAACACCAGCCCGGCCTCACAACACCAGCCCGGCCTCACAACACAGCGCCGCACCACCACCACCAGCCCGGCCTCACAACACCAGCCCGGCCTCACAACACCAGCCCGGCCTCACAACACAGCGCTGCACCACCAGCCCGGCCTCACAACACAGCGTCGCATTTTGACGTATACTTCACCTGAGGCCAAAAATCGTCGTGCTAGAAAATGGTAGCGGCTCGCGGAATTGACGTACTGTCCCGTTTTCTGTTTTGGGGTCGTGTGGTAGGTTAAGATAAGGGAACTTTAGTACGACACTTTCTTGACGTTGGGAACCGGCTGGCAGATTAGTAATGTACGCCAGCGAATGTCCCGCTAGTGGATGACCTCATATATTTTTTAGTGATTGTATTTTTTATTATTTTCACGCTTCCGCCGCGAGTAAGATTAATTATATAATATTTAGAAATATTCTCTTTTATGGAAGGATGAAACACACATCTGGCAGGTGTGTCCTGCTACGGGTGCTCGCTGCCTGTGTTCTTTGTAAAACGTGTCCTACAGACAAAGGGGAGCTGACGTATGTTGGAATCTAATGTAAAGAAACGCTATGCCTGAAATGCAAGGCATGTTAGTGTCTTTGCAAGAATGTAGGAACACCAATGTTATGCACTCTCACAAACCCCAATGTACCTCCTTGTATATAAATAAATAAATAAAGCATTGTGAAGAATATTTGCTTCATAATTACCTCATGGCGTTCAAAAACGGGGAGAAAATTGTCAAGCATTACTTGAATGGCTCACAATTGCATATTATTTGGACAGAAATGATAAGCCCGTGTTCTCTACTCACAATCGGGAATCCTGTATATGAATGGTTTTTGATCCACAATCAAGGATCCCGGGTTCGATTCCCGGGCAGACCAGAAATGGTTGGGCACATTTCCTTTCATCTAATGCCGTATATAATGCCAGGCGTGGGAGAAATGGTTGGGCATGTTTCCTTTCACCTAATGCTTCTCTTTACCTAGCAGTAAATAGGTACCTACTGTCGTGGTTGGTTGCATCTTGGGTAAGGACAGTATTTCGACCCTGGGGGAAGGGGCATCGGTTTAAGCTTCCTGTGCAAAAGAAAAAGAAATATTCCTTATGAGAACATGTTAGGCTAGTTTTAATTATATAAGGTGAGCCTAGGTTCGCTTAGGCTTTGGATTGGTAATAGAAGTTTTGTTGAGCTGCTGTATTATTATAGTAGTTATTAGTATTAATTTTTTATTTATACACAAATATTAAATTATAATTTCGTGTCTTAATTATTCCATGCAATTGTCGGGCCTAATGGACCAGTTACGCCATGTTAGGCTAGTGAACAAATACGAATACAGTATATTAGTCCAGACCAGGTATTTAGGAAACCTGAATGTAACCCACACAAGGGGCAACAGCTTCAAGTTCAACAAGCCACAATGTAACCCACACAAGGGGCAACAGCTTCAGGTTCAACAAGCCACAATGTAACCCACACAAGGGGCAACAGCTTCACGTTCAACAAGCCACAATGTAACCCACACAAGGGGCAACAGCTTCAAGTTCAACAAGCCACAATGTAACCCACACAAGGGGCAACAGCTTCAGGTTCAACAAGCCACAATGTAACCCACACAAGGGGCAACAGCTTCACGTTCAACAAGCCACAATGTAACCCACACAAGGGGCAACAGCTTCAAGTTCAACAAGCCACAATGTAACCCACACAAGGGGCAACAGCTTCAGGTTCAACAAGCCACAATGTAACCCACACAAGGGGCAACAGCTTCAGGTTCAACAAGCCACAATGTAACCCACACAAGGGGCAACACCTTCAAGTTCAACAAGCCACAATGTAACCCACACAAGGGGCAACAGCTTCAAGTTCAACAAGCCACAATGTAACCCACACAAGGGGCAACAGCTTCAGGTTCAACAAGCCACAATGTAACCCACACAAGGGGCAACACCTTCAAGTTCAACAAGCCACAATGTAACCCACACAAGGGGCTACACCTTCAAGTTCAACAAACCACAATGTAACCCACACAAGGGGCTACACCTTCAAGTTCAACAAGCCACAATGTAACCCACACAAGGGGCAACAGCTTCAGGTTCAACAAGCCACAATGTAACCCACACAAGGGGGCAACACCTTCAAGCTCAATCGTCGAGGCCACTAGAGATGGTTTTCAGGTAAATTCAGGTAGAAGCAGATTCCTTCGCCAGTCGTTACCTGCATTATAATTATGCTAAACTATATGGATCTTTATTTTACAAATACCGTGAATAACTCCATTACATTGTAGTGTTAATGACATTTCACCTAAGTGCATTGAACAATAACTGCTTCGCGGCGCTGTTTATGTACTGTGTCTAATGGGATTCGAACTGTGGTTGCTGGCGAGTGCGTCGTTTGAAGTACATTTGCAAATTAAAGGAGTTGAAAAGCTGCACTACGCTAAAAGCTTGAGAAGTGTAGATAAGAGTTTTCAAGCAATCTTATCAAGGACATTGAACGAGCGAAACACTTAATTTCCTTTTCTCGTTAAAAGGCCATGATCACGCAGTGGCAACTCTTCGGTCCTCCTGACTGCCTTTTATCCGCTAAAAAGCTTTAATTTGTTTAATCTAAAAAGCAGATTTATATATAACAGTGGACATGGCAGTCGGATGGCAACCAATTTAACAAGAGTTTGATTCCCGGAGAAAGCGAGACGTCTGGGCACGCTTCCTTACACCTGATGCGTCTGTTCATCTAGCAGTAAATAGGCCAGCCTGCCCTCCTAAAGTTTCCTAACGTCTAGAAACTGTCGTAATAAATTGGCTTTAACCTAACCTTCCACAGGACCCAAAACGGAAAACGGGACAGTACGTCACTTTCGCGAGCCGCTACCATTTACGTACGTACGCACGACGATTTTTTACCTTAGGTGAAGTATACGTCAAAATGCGACGTTCTATTAGGAGGCCGGGTTGGATAGGCACCCGGGACTGTTGCTGATGCAGCCTCGGGAAGTTCGGTCGTCGGCATAACGCAGCGATTTCCTAACTTCAATGCACAAGTCAAAAAATATATGTTCATATACTGTACAGAGGAACAGTATGTAAATATACATATATGTTGTTGAATATGACCGAGAAGGTAAGATTAATAATTCTAACACGAATCTTCTCAATATTTCTTACGTTGTTCTTTATTGTCGAGGGTAATTGAAATATCAACTCTCCAAAATTCATTTTTATTTTGGTCTGACGCCTAGAAGC